CCTGCCATTCCCGACTTTGGAGCAGCGGAGCCTTGTAGGGGGTTTCGCAGCCGATCTCGTCTCGGGGCCCGTTTATAACCCGTTCGGTGTCGTGTCGCAGGTGCAGATGGTGGCTGACAGTCGCTATGGAGAGCATAGATACAGCAATGGCTTGCAAACGACGAGATCCATCCTCGCAGAGCAGGGATGGCGAGCGTTGTTTCGTGGAACTTTGTTAACTGTGATTTTGGCCCCTCTTACTGGAGCTTGGTGGCTCGTTTACGAGCTACTAAAACATCGAGCCTATAACGTCGTTGCGTGTGCATCGCCGTCGCTCGTTTTCATAATTCCTCCTGAAGTGCGGCGAAGAATCCCCGAGTGCTGCACCTCCACAACGGACAACCTTCTCGTCAACTGTAGTGTGGGTGCCACAGCCAGCATGGTGATCAGTCTCTTGCTGAACCCTTTCTATGTTCTGAGACTCAGGCTGCAGGTGGACAAAAACATAGGATACGCACGTTTCCCCTCGTTTGTTATAATGAAGAGTGTTCTGCGACGGGAGGGGATTCAGGCATTTTTTAAAGGCCTTCATACAAACCTCTTTATGGCAGCGGTGGGCGGTTGTGCGTTCGGGATGACATATGAAGGAGCAAAGCAGTTCTCCGATATCACATAGGCGGGATCCGACTCTCTAAGCGTGTAAGAGGTGCAATCTCCATACATAGCGAGAGGCAACCAATTGATTTAGAGAGAAGGATAGAGAGTTTCAGTGTGTGAATTGGAGAATGCACGGTGTGATGATTGTGTTGTGTTGCTAGAAGGATATTTGCTGCAGGGTGTTTTTGCGTGCGGCAAATAATGTGTGAGGTGGTGAATGTTGGCGTGTGTGTACGTTCGAGCAAGGAGATGTAAGAAACGAAAGGGTGCAGGCATATATGCACAAGACGAAACCAAACGCTCTGGGCTTAAAGGCGCGCGATTTAATCCCCGGCGTCATGCGTATATGCCCCTGATGCACCGATGGAGAAGGTGAATAGGAGAATTGCTACAGAGAAGTAGTGACGTTTTTCTTCATATTTTCCCATCGCGGGAATTACATAGACCTTGCCAAAGGGGAGTAAAGAAATGAAAAGGTCGGTGATGGTTGCTCTCGTTTGCTGTCACCCCTCTCTATGTGTTGTGTGTTTGCGTGGGCATGTATATGTCTGCATTGGCGCATTTGCGTCTGGCTGGGTGTGTGTAGAAATGCGTTGCTCCTGTGGTTTTGGTCACTGTTTCTCAAGCCCCCTATAGAACGTCGGAAAGGAAGAGGATGCTGTGCCACGGATCGCACCCAGAGCATCCCATGCGGGTGTTCAAGCACCCAAAGGCTGGCCTGTTGTGTTCCATCTGCAAGGCGTGCGCCCACCCATCCATGGCGGAGTGGTGCGGCTGCACGCAGGAAGGGTGCAACTACACGCTCTGCTGGAAGTGCTTGGAAATCGACGAGCAGTTGTTTGAGACCCCACAGGTCATCATTCGCAACCCCCTCCTGTCGCACGAGGACATGGGCGTATGCCTGCGCACGCGCCCGCGCAACAATGCGCATGTGCTGTGCCCGCTCTACCCCGGTCGCCTTATGGTCGCTGTCTCCAGCGCCAAGGGAACCCTCGACCCGAATGAAACTTATTACCGGTTGAAAAATGGTGGATGGCTGAACGCTGGGCATGTTGTTCGTGTGCTTCCGTCACAGCAACTTATAGAAGAGCTCGCCAAGTCCCATTTACGGGCTGAGGATGAGCGTCCCAATAACTTGATGCCATTCAAGGATCTTCTTGTCTGCATCGACGAGAGCTTTCGGTTGATGGATGAGCGGTCCCCGTACGGTCCAGTTATGGCCTTGCTTGCCTTTTTCCCGATGATTCAGTATTCCTCCAACCTGCACTTCATCTCACCAGAGGAACGCGTCGCTTTTGTTCGAGCGTCGCTGGGGTTTATTCACTACGTGTTCCACTACGTTCTGGATGAAGTGGAACACTGGATACGAAGCATGGATCATAGAGTAAAGAGTACGGTGCTGACTCTTTATGTGGAATTGCTTGGGAAATCACTCATCGTGGCGCGTGATGTGGCCGCATCTCAAATTGTTGCGCTCCCGAGTGAGCTCGGCCCACTCGTGACGAAGACGGCTAAAGTTACCGTGGCCCTCATGCCAATCGTGGAGTGGGGAACAGTACCGCAGGGGGGGGCTTCAAATGTCACGTTGCGAGTGCCGTCTGTTGCGAGCCGTCAGGTGGAGTACGAAGAAGAACAGGCACGGCTATTTATTTGCTGCTACAACATGGTAGAAACGGCAGGATGGCTCCTGTTACACACACCTTCTTTTACGTACGACCTCAGCGACATTCGTCCCCTCCGTGTAGCCGTCTCCATTGTACCCAATTCGGAGAGCCTAGAGCGCATGCTGTGTCAAGTTGCAACAAATGCACTTGACAGGATGCCTTCGTTACGAAACCGAATTCATGACCTGGATGTGTTGGAAGTAGCAATTTTGCTTGCTGGAAAAGCAACTTGCGCTGAGAGCCAGATGGCAGTCTTTAAGCTCATTTCTGCCATTGCTCACAAGTCTCCGCGGAACATATCGCAAATTGCTTCTCTGGTGATAGCGCCGCTGGTTCAACTAGCCATGAGGGCGTGGAATACTGTAGTGGCCAACGCTGCTTTTGACTGTTTTGTTGAATTGGCGTACAATGACCCGCGTGTTGATAGTTCCCGACTTGGCTCGCAGGGGGAGGCGTTGGCGCTTCCGGTGTGCTCCGCCGTGCTGTACCCGCAAGGGGTGCCATACCAGATGATGAGTCTCTACGAAGTGGAGGAACGTCGAATGGCCCTTTGCGAGCACTGCAGGAGTATGCATCCCCCAGAGGGTGGCGTGCTTGTGAGTGAGCCACAATTCGCTTACTTCCACTGCCAGTGTTCCTGTTGCCTGCATGAGAGGGTGGCGCACCCGCTCCCACCTCCGAATGTTCCGCCAACTTTGGCTATTCAGGAGATGGTGAAGGGAGGCATCTCACGTCTAATGCTCTTCTGGCTCAAATGCAGCGAAGCGGCTGTAGCCAACACTGTGGGACGGCTTTCTCTCAAGATTGAAGTCCCAAAGGAGGTGACGATTGCGCTTTATCGCTCGCTGCTTCGGCAAGACCTCGTCGGTTATGCCGACGCGGCCCTCGCTGTGGCGGCGCAGTCGCACCTTCCGGTTGTGCGGGAGATGCAGCGGGAGCACCCGTGCGCCCCGATATCGCAGTACCTGTCATGTCAGCCAGGATTCCTGACGACAGCTTCGGTGAATGAGCAAACGCCAGGTAAAGCGTCGTACTGCGAGGAGACTGACGGGTTGTCGCCCTCGCCCAATGTTGCAGTGAAGGGCGGTGGGGCGTACGCGTCGCTGCCGGGCGGCGTTTCGCCGCCGCTCGTTGACTTCTTCACAGGACCGCAGAAGATATACCTGGACGATGTCCTATAGAGCAGGCAGAAACTCTGTCGAAGACGGAGAGGAAGAGGATGCAGCTTGTCTTTCCCGGAATGCTCCCTGTCGAGAGTGTCGCGGTCCGTGTCGTCCGAATGCGTGAGCCCCTTGCTCTGGTCCATGCACATACACATACACACATAAAAAGTTCCCCCCCCCTCTCACCCACCCCCGCTTTCAATGCACGTGCTTATTGAGAAACCGGTCTGACGTCGCGTGAACTTCTTCGCGCACGTCAGCCTCATTTCTCGCGCCATAGATGGCTGACCTTCACGTTGGCTGATACGCATGTGAGGGAAGGACAGTGCGTGATTTGTTTGTTTGTTTGTTTGTTCGATTGATTTTTTATGTTTGTTTTGAGGGTTTTGAAAATTGCGTTTTACGCTGATGTTCGTTTCCCACAGCACTCCTTCTTGAGTAACAGCAGAAGCCACCTCCAGCGCAGGGTCCATCCGCATGGAAGGAGGGAGGGGGTGTATGTGTAGAGGGAGCGAGAAAAAAAAAGGGGAATGAATTGGGATGTAACGAGGAAAAAAACGAAGGAAGGAGGTCACTAGACAGAAAAAGGTGAAGTCAACAAGGAAACAGCAGGCGTGCCGTTTATGCTGCATAACTTGTGTGGATGTGTAATAGAGAGACGTAATGGAAGCCGAGGAAGGGGAAAGGTGGAGACGCGTGTCCGCAAAGGTGGCGTCCCCCATCTCCCACTCCACCAGGAGAGAGACAACGAAAAAGAGCTGGAGGTAGGAAAAGAAGATAAACTATATTGAGGCATAGAGAGCGTAAGTACGGGTGTGAGGGACCCGGCTCGCCGTGTGCAGAACTGTTCTCTTGACTGGTTCGCTCCTGAATGAAGTTGTTTTGTTTGTTTCGTTTTGATTTCGCGTTGTCATGGCCGTCGTCTCATGAGCGGCACGCAGCATCCGTGCATGTGTGTTTTCTTTTTCCTCCTCATCCCCTGTCTCTAATGCCCCTTAAAAACGTCCCCCCCCCCCCCCNCCCCCCTTCAACAGCAAGAGATGAGGAACGAGAATGCAGATGCTGTCCAGGAGCAGCGCATCTCCGAGCGGCGGCAGCGCATTCAAAAGCGGCTCAAAGACATAAACGGCGACAGCAACATGCAGGGCAGTGGCAGTGGCGGGGGCGACAGCAACGCACCGAAGGGGCGCGGTGAGGAGTGCGCTCGCCAGGCCCGCCACGACATGGCGAATGTGCTTAGCTGCGCCCACAGCGCCGTGACGGGATGGGAAGTGGCCATCGACGCTAACGAAAACGAGCGCCGTGAGCGCGAAGAGTGTGCGCTGGACGAGCGACGCAAGCATCGCCGCGACGAGCTGGCGGAGAATGAGGCGCGGCAGGGCGCGATACAGCTCACGTTCGAGTCCCTCTACAAGCTCAACGTCCCACACGAGATGCAGTGCGCGCTGGGGGAACAGCGGCAGCAGTGCGAAGCGCTCATTGGGGTGAAGGACCGTCTCATCGAGGCGCTGCGCGAGCAGCTGGAGGAGCGCGAGGAGGAGTTCGTTGCTGCGCTCCGCCGCAACGCCACGGACATCAACAGCCTCGTCGAGGAGATGCGGGAGCAGACGGAGAAGTACCTCGACGCCTACACGCGCAAGCTGCGCGGAGTCGAAGACGCATACGAGGAGGAGCGGAAGGAGGCCCTCACGCTCTGGGAGGAGGAGATCCACCAACTCGTTCGACTGCGCCGCACGCGCGAGACGGAGTACCGCAAGAAACGCGAGGCGAAGATATTGGAGGCGCAGAAGAAGATTGACGAGAAGCACCGTGAGAGCTGCGAGGAGTACAACGTGATTAAGCGCGAGCACCTCCAGGAGATTCACGGCCTTATGGAAGAGCTCGAGCGCTGCAAGGCGGAATTCCTCTTAAACGGTGAGCGGCTCAGCTACAACCTGCAGGTGCTGCGCGAGAGGGTGAAGGAGAACAAGAGCGCGCAGATGCTGCACAAGCGCAAACTCGCGCGGCTGCAAGACACGCTCAGCTCACTCGTCGCACGCTACGCGGAGTCGGAGAAGCGGTACCAGCGCACCAACAAAGACCTCACCGCTCAACTGCACCGTGTTGCCGATCAGTACCGTGACCTGCAGAAGAAGTTCCAGAAATTCGAGAAATCTGACAAGGAGAAGTACCGTCAGCTTTGGCGCATGCACGAGGAGAAGAACATACAGCTCGCGCACAAGTGCCTTCAGGCTGATCGCGTTCTATTCGAGGATATCCTCGGTGTGCCGTGGAACCCACCAGAACTGAACTACTGGCCCGCCGACGACACCGCATCGGCGGTGGAAGAGGAGGAGGAGGATAATGTCAGCAGCGACGACGAAATCGAGCTCTCGCAAGAAGCGCTCATGCTGCTGGAGATTCTGCACAAACAGGCCCCGTTCATTGCGGATGAAAATGTGCGTGCAGCTATTAGTGAGGTGGAGGGCACCACAGAGGAGCGGGCGGTCGTGGAAGCCATCCTCGCCACGCTGCAGGTGCGCAAGAACGAGGAGTTGGAGGATCTGCTGGAGTTTTTTATGGTGGAGGGGCCGGAGGATGCCACAGCGCTCATCCGGCCGCAGGATGCGGTACGGGCGCTCTCATCCTTCCTCACGGAGCGGCAGCGGAAATTGCAGAAGCAGGAGGAGGAGGGTCAGAAGCAGTCGGAGAAGAAGAAGAAGCAGCTGGCGAAGATAAAGCAAGAAGAGTCCCGTCGCAAGGCGGAGAAGGAGTACTGGTCGCGCATGGCAGAGTCGGTCCCGAAGGGCCACCAGCGAGTGTGGGGGGCGCTCGAGAAGGGCCTTGAGCGGTACATTAGTCAACTGCAGCAGCGCAAAACCCTGATTGAAGAGACAGACACACTGCGCGCGCAGAACGCGGAGCTGCGCGACTTGCTCGGGCAATACTTGCAAGGCGATGTGAACTACCAGTTGTACATGCCGCCGCAGCTCCTGCTGCAGGCTCGCACCGCCTCCTGAGGCCCGTAGAGCGACGCCGGAGGAAATGTACAGGAACGGGGGCGTACAAACCAAACCAAAAAAAAAAAATGGAGAAAGAAAAATGAAAGCAAAACAAAAAAAAAAGAGATGAGAGGGAGGCAGCGCTTCTCTTATGTTATTGATCCAACGGGTAGCAAGATATACGCAATGAATACTGAATGCGTTCACGCCTGCAACTTCTTCTTTCTCCTTGTTTCGTTCTTGTTGTTGCGCGCTCGTGTCTCACCGTCCCCTGCGGAAGGGCTGCGTCACATCGCGTAGGGCACGTCACACACAGAGACACACCGGTAGAGCAGCGCACCATGCCCGGCGGTGCGCAGGGGCACTCGACGTTGCTGCTGGGCCAAGGGCCCACGTCGTTCAACTGGCACGGCTCCATCCCCACCGTCCGCGCCGACACCAGCTTTGAGCCGAACTTCCGCCAGTTTGACTTCTTTCTCGACACGCAGGCAATGCCCGATGAGGCGCTGGCGGAGCGCGTCTACAAAGTGCCGGAGGGTGAGTCACACTGGCACCTCCGCACGTTCTGGGGGCAGAACCTCCGCTGCACGCCGGTTGTCATAACCAGTCTGGCCGGCGCTGGCTTCGTGAACTTCTTCTACACGCGCCTCCTGAACCGCACTGGAACGTCCATTCGGTGGTCCTTTTGGAAGTGCTACGCGTTCGTATTCGCATGGAACAACCTCACGAAGTTTGTGGCGAGAGAGCGGTACTTCCAGCGCGATTTCCAGCGGAATCAGCTCTATTCCTTTGATGAAATACGGGACCAGCGTGACCGGCAGCGCGTGCGTGAAGCGCTCTATGAGAAGCAATTCGTAAAGAATCCTGTAGCGGAGTACCGTGTGAAGGCATGGCAAGTAGCAGAGAGATTTGCGTAGTGGTCTGTTCATTCATGCTGATGTTGTTTTCGATTGGTATGCTGCATCAGTATAGCGGCATGGGTGAGCGGATGTTTTGCTTTTGGGGTGGGGTGGGGTAGGGAAAGGTGTGGGGTATGGTGTAACAGTGCTATTAGTAGCCGGTACAGATGGTTGGGTACCAAGTAGTGGAGCGGGAGGAGGTCGTGACGGGCCAACAGACGACAGGCAGTGGTAGTGATGGTGGTGGCAACTAGTTTGGCTATCGTCATTCATCGCAATGGTGTAAGGTATATATGTCTGTGTGTGCATGTGTTTTTGTTTTTGTGTGTCATAGAAAGCGCAAAGGAAAAGGACGTTTAAAATGTGTTTCTGTGTGTCGTAACGAGGTGGGAGTATTCTGCATTCTTTGAGCCTTGCGTTTATGTTTGCTTTGTTTTCTCAACACAACGCCCATCCTGTAGCGAAAAGTTTCGCCTTCACAAAAGACAGCAGGACGTCATGTCATCGTCCGTATCTCCCTCCTGTGCAAACAAACGGGAGGTGCTCAACCGCGTGAAGGAGGTCCTTGAGACGTACGTGCAATCGAGTGTGATTGACCGCGAGGATTTCAAGAACTTGGCAAAGAAGTTAGCAGAAGCGGTGGCACCGCCAGCAGCAACGACGGTGGTTGATCGGGCCACGCTGCAGCAGCTGGTGGAATTCCTCGGTGAAGCCGGCGCCGATGAGACAGTGATCGCCCCGGTTCGCGCGAGATTGCAGGAACACACCGCGAGCGCGGCGGCGGGTGAGGCGGCGCAGGAGTCGCAGAAGCAAGAGAAATTGGCTGCAGCTGCATCAGGTGCATTCTCGGCGTTCTCGCTCAGCGCCCTGCAAGCGAGGATGGCTAAGAAGAAGGAGGAGTTGCGGCGGCACCGTGACGAGGCGGCGGCGACGGCGGACG